AGCGGGAACCTGCAAAGAAGCATGAAATGGAAGATTATGTTCCATGGCGTTCCTTTACGGCGCAGCAGGCGCAGCAGGCGCAGCAGGCGCTGGCTCTGGCGGCGTCGGTGGGATATCTGTGTCTGAAAATGGGGTGTATCCACAAAAATCATGGAGATGGGGTCAATGATTGTTCATAGAGGGGTGAATCAAGCAAACAATTGTGAAATTAACATAATAAATAAACATCATTGAAACACAAAAACAATCAAAACATAGGAAACTAACAGAAACGAAGAATCTATAGACAAAAATAGTATGTGATATACTTGATTGTACCAACCACGTGATAGCAGATATAAAACGACACAGGCCAACACCAATCTTCTTCCTCCAAATTTGTTGGTGTCACTGTACCCGCATCCTTTTTTCGGGTATTTTTTGTACAATTCTGACACAAGGCGGGGCCCCCCCCAGTTAGGAGTTGGTTTATAAACCCCATTAACTATAGTATAAGTATTATAATCCATACTTTATTGGAGTTACTGTGGATGGAAGAAATCCTCCACCAGTTGGTAACTGTTAGTAAGTATGAAACACTGTAAATAATGGGATTATAAATTATAATCTTACCAGCTGTAAACCGCCTGATTTTGTTTGGTAGTGTGATATGTTGTGTGATATGTTGCACCTATTTCTGGTAGTGAAGCTGCTCATGACTGCGTCTCCCGACTTCTCGCCTGCCACTTGAAGGGCGACTACGTGAAGGTGGTATCCCCTGCATGCTATCCCATTCGCTCAAAGCATTTGCCTCAAAACCCGTGCTGCGAAACTTGGACATCTTAGAATTTTACTTCCCATGGACCATGGATCAATGGAAGATGATGGTCCAGCAAAAAATACATTTGATCGCAACTTGTTCATTCCTTTTGAGCCAAACCCAACTGGGGCTATATGTAACTAGTTGGTGCTGTATTCTTGAGTGGTATTGGTACATGTTGTAGGCTTCATGGGGCAATGGGCTGCCTTTTCTTTGGACAGGACAGCATACATTCAAAATTAGGATGACCCATCCATCTATGTGACCATTCGCAAATCTTGAACACTACTGGCTACAGTCTGTCATAGTCATAGTTGTATAGTTTTCATACAAAGACCATCTTATGACATTCATCCTCCAATCATTTGCCACCATCTGCAGTCATTTGTTTTTCTTTGTTTGCGTGTATTTCGAATCTCGGATTTGGTTATGAGTCAACACTGATGGTTCCATGTTCGGGTGCAAGGTGCTACAACCTACACCATGTTTGGGTATGTCTCAGAATCAAGAACCACAAGTCATCCTATGTTTTTTCATCATTGTCTCCACATGTACAGCCATTTGTGGATCCCTAAATTTGAGAGAGAGCCATTTGGACACTGCACACTTCAGGAAAGAACAGGTTGCTGTGAAGATGGCAAAGCCAAAGTGGTTGATGGGCGAAACGTGACATGGACCTCTGATACTGAGCTGGTCATTGTGGCTCCGCTGGTGACGAACCGGAAGCACCACAGACGGGACTCCAAAAGATCAAATCTATCATGGATTACCAATCAGTCCATTTTTCCGTATCTTTGGTTGCAAATGCTTCTAGCGTGGATGCTCGCAGTCGATCTTTCATGATCCTTTCATATATATTGTAGATCCATGTTGCTTGATACATGATGCTATCAGATACTGCTGTCGTTCTCTAGTTCAAGATATCATCAACCAGTCGTGTGTCGTGAGTCACAATATTTCATCAAGGCTCCAACAACTCCATTGAATCTTTGCTTGCTTGATGGCATGATGCTATATCATCAAAGGAAGTTGGGAAGCAATACTTCCGAGTTACGAATGACTTTTACTTGATGGAATGGACTATGATGAGGGGTGGTACGTGATCTAACAATACATATCATAACAATACACAACAAAAGAATAAGAAGCGGTGGAATTGACCTTGATGAAGGGTGGTAGATCACATCACAATACATAACATAACAATACATAACAAAAGAATAAGAATCTATGGTGTTGACCTTGATGAAGGGTGGTACATCACATCACAATACATAACATAACAATACAAAACAAAAGAATAGGAATCTATGGAATTGACCTTTTTGAAGGGTGGTACATCACATAACAATACATAACATAACAATACCTAACAAAAGAATAAGAATCTATGGAATTGACCTTGATGAAGGGTGGTACATCACATAGAATAAGGAAGCTATGACAGAGGGTGGTGACGAAAGGAGGTGGTGACGATGGGAAGTGGTGACGATGGGAAGTGGTGACGAAGGGAAGTGGTGACGAAGGGAAGTGGTGACGAAGGGAAGTGGTGACGAAGGGAAGTGGTGACGAAGGGAAGTGGTGACGAAGGGAAGTGGTGACGAAGGGAAGTGGTGACGAAGGGAAGTGGTGACGAGGGGAAGTGGTGACGAAGGGAAGTGGTGAGGAAGGGAAGTGGTGACGAAGGGAAGTGGTGACGAAGGGAAGTGGTGACGAAGGGAAGTGGTGATGAAGGGAAGTGGTGACGAAGGGAAGTGGTGACGAAGGGAAGTGGTGACGAAGCGAGGTGGTGACGATGGGAAGTGGTGAGGAAGGGAAGCGGTGACGAAGGCAAGTGGCGAGCTGGGGAGGAAACTGGAGCACGAAACCTTGTGTTTTTCCGTCTAAAGTGGCTGCAGGCGACGATGAAAGGTACCTCGTGTGTGCGACGGGTGCGGCTGCGGTCGGTTTGTCGTTTTTTTTGCCGCGGTGTAACGGTGGCTTGAAGCTGCTTTGGGTGTGCTTGTGTGTGCGTAGTTATAAGGTGTTTTGGAATCTCCGGTTGCAGATCGCATTGGAATGGCTGCATGACTGTTGTCATTTGGTGTTCCGCTGTTGTTCTGTGCGTAGATAGGTGCAAGTTTGCGAGTTGATGCTGCGAACCGCATTGTAATGGCTGCATGATGTTGCATGGGCTATGTCTTGGGGAGGAAGCCGGAGCACGAAACCTTGTGTTTTTCCGTGTAAAGTGGCTGCAGGCGACGATGAAAGGTACCTCGTGTGTGCGACGGGTGCGGCTGGGGTCGTTTCATGCGCGAATTGTTCCTCCTATGTGTTTTGCAACGAGTGGTTGTTCCTGTGTGCGTAGTTCTATGCGTTTCTTGAAGTTGTGGTTGCAGATCGCATTGGAATGGCTGCATGAATGTTGCATGGGCTTTGTTGTGGGGAGGAAGCCGGAGCACGAAACCTTGTGTTTTTCCGTGTAAAGTGGCTGCAGCCGGCGATGAAAGGCACCTCGTCTGTGCGGCGGATGCGGCTGGGGTCGTTTCTGTCGCGAATTGTTCCTCCTATGTGTTTTGCAACGAGTGGTTGTTCCTGTGTGCGTAGTTCTATGCCGTTCTTGAAGCTGTGGTTGCAGATCGTTTTGGAATGGCTGCATGAATGTTGCATGGGCTATGTTTTGGGGAGGAAGCCGGAGCACGAAACCTTGTGTTTTTCCGTGTAAAGTGGCTGCAGCCGGCGATGAAAGGTACCTCGTCTGTGCGGCGGTTGCGGCTGGGGTTAGTTGGTTCATTCTATCTGTTTTGCAAAAATGGGTGTCCTGGGGCGTTAGTTCTATGCGTTTCTTGAAGCGTGGTTGAGATCGCATTGTGCATGGGCATGAAGGTTGCATGCGTTTGTGTTGCGGGGGGAGGAAGCCGAGCACGAACCCTTGCTGGTTTTCCGTGTGTAATTTTTCGTAAGTGCTGGAAATGTGTAATGGCTGCATGAATGTTGCATGGGCTATGTTGTGGGGAGGAAGCCGGAGCACGAAACCTTGCGTTTTTCCGTGTAAAGTGGCTGCAGCCGGCGATGAAAGGTACCTCGTTTGTGCGACGGGTGCGGCTGCGGTCGTTTTGTGCGCGAATTGTTCCTCCTATGTGTTTTGCAACGAGTGGTTGTGTCTGTGTGCGTAGTTCTATGCGGTTCTTGAAGCTGTGGTGGCAGATTGCATTGTAATGGCTGCATGAATGTTGCATGGGCTATGTTTTGGGGAGGAAGCCGGAGCACGAAACCGTGTGTTTTTCCGTGTAAAGTGGCTGCAGCCGGCGATGAAAGCTACCTCGTCTGTGCGGCGGTTGCGGCTGGGGTCGTTTGGTTCCTTCTATGTGTTTTGCAACAATGCTTGTTCCTGTGTGCGTAGTTCTATGCGTTTCTTGACGCTGTGGTGCCACATCGCATTGTAATGGCTGCATGATGTTACATGCCGTGTGTTGCGGGGAGGAAGCCGGAGCACGAAACCGTGCGTTTTTCCGTGTAAAGTGGCTGCAGCCGGCGATGAAAGCTACCTCGTCTGTGCGGTGGTTGCGGCTGGGGTCGTTTGGTTCCTTCTATGTGTTTTGCCACAATGCTTGTTCCTGTGTGCGTAGTTTTATGCGTTTCTTGACGCTGTGGTGCCAGATCGCATTGGAATGGCTGCATGATGTTGCATGGGCTTTGTGTTGGGGAGGAAGCCGGAGCACGAAACCTGTGTTTTTCCGTGTAAAGTGGCTGCAGCCGGCGATGAAAGGTACCTCGTGTGTGCGGCGGTTGCGGCTGCGGTCGTTTGGTTCCTTCTATGTGTTTTGCAACAATGGTTGTTCCTGTGTGCGTAGTTCTATGCGTTTCTTGAAGCTGTGGTTGCAGATCGCATTGGAATGGCTGCGTCAAGGTTGCTTGGTGTTGCGGCTGCATGTGTGATACTATTGTCTTTTGCAGCTGAAGATTGTGAACCGTATTGGAGTGGCTGCATCCAGGCTGCGACAGTGATTTGTCAGCAGATTTTCGCAATTTTGGCACTAGTTAGTAATTTTCCTTAAAAAAATCCCTTTAAAAAGTGCTGCAAAATCGTCTTTTTTCTGCTTTGGCATCGAGATCCGGTTTTGGAGCTGCAATTTCCGACGCCGTTGCGCGTAGTTCTTTTGTGACTTGCAACTCAGTCTCTGCAGATCGCATTGTCGTGGCTGCGTCAAGGTTGCTTGGTCACAGTAGTACTGGGAAGTAGTTTGTGCAAGCTTTGTAGTACACAGTAGTACTGGGAAGTGCTTTGTGCAAGCTTTGCAGTACAAAGTAGTACTGGGAAGTAGTTTGTGCAAGCTTTGTAGTACAAACTTTGTGCAAGCTTTGCAGTACCAGTAGTACCGCACTAGGCGGTGGCGGAAGTTTCAAAAGTAGGAAACCTATAGGAGAGGTTGGTTGTTGTGAATCAGGGATGGCAGAGCGAAGCCACTGATGGACTGAAAGGTGCTTGATCTCTCTCACTCTTTCTATCTCTTTCTCTGGCTATCTACCTACCTACCTATCTATTTTCTATGTATCTATCTATCTATCGATCTATCTCTCTCTCTCTCTTTCATCTAATTAGCCAATCTATCTATCTATCTATCTAATCTAATCTAATCTAATCTAATCTAATCTAATCTAATCTATCTAATCTAATCTAATCTAACCTAACCTAATCTAATCTAATCTAATCTAACTATCTATCTATCTATCTATCTGTCTATCTATCTATCTATCTATCTATCTATCTATCTCTTTCATCTATCTAGCTGTCTATCTATCTATCTATCTGTCTGTCTGTCTGTCTATCTGTCTATCTGTCTATCTGTCTATCTATCTGGTGCAGTGTCATTCAGTGTATTGTAGTGTAGTGTAACGTAGTGTAGTGTAGTGGAGTGTAGTGGAATGTAGTGTAGTGTAGTGTAATGTAGTGTAGTGTAGTGTAATTTCGTGTAGTGGAGTGTAGTGTTGTGTAGTCGTAGTTGTAGTTGTAGTGTAGTGTAGTGTAATGTAGTGAAGTGTAGTGGAAGGTAGTGTAGTGTAATGTAGTGTAGTGTAGTGGAGTGTAGTGTAGTGTAGTGGAGTGTAGTGTAGGGTAATGTAGTGTAGTGTAGTGTAATTTAGTGTAGTGGAGTGTAGTTGCGTAGTTGTAGTTGTAGTGTTGTGGAGCGTAGTGTAGTGTAATGTAGTGTAGCGGAGTGTAGTGTAATTTAATGTAGTGTAGTGTAGTGGAGCGTAGTGTAGTGTAATGTAGCGTAGTGAAATTTAATGTAGTGGAGTGTAGTGGAGTGTAGTCTAGTTGTGTAGTTGTAGTTGTAGTGTTGTGGAGTGTAGTGTAGTATAGCGGAGTGTGGTGTACTGTAACGTAGTGTAGTGTAGTGAAGCGAAACGGCGAAGCGACATCTGAACCTCCAAAAGTGGCGCGAACATGTAGTGTTTTGTACATTTTCACTTCGAAATGTGCTTCGCGCCACAACGGCGTGCACTTTTTCGACATCTTACCTTCCAAAAGTGGTCCGAGAATGGTGTGTTTTGTACATTTTGACTTCGAAATGTGCTTCGCGCCACAACGGCGTGCACTTTCGACATCTCAACTTCCAAAAGTGGTCCGACCATGGTGTGTTTTGTACATTTTGACTTCGAAATGTGCTTCGCGCCACAACGGCGTGCACTTTTTCGACATCGCAACTTCCAAAAGTGGTCCGACCATGGTGTGCTTTGTACATTTTGACTTCCAAATGTGCTTCGCGCCACAACGGCGTGCAATTTTTCATCTCTCCTCTGGCCA